GAAAAACTTCTTTAGTAAACAAAACAAAAGACTGTGTATATATATATATATTAATAGTTTATTTCAGTATGATACCTTTTTGAAACATTCTGGAATATGTAAAGCTGCCGAACAAAATTCATACAAGTAGTTTCACTCCTCTTCTTTGTATTTTTCCTTTTTGTAATTTTCACTGTTTAGCATCTGCGCTGCATATCTATTTGTTTCAACAGCTATCGCGTCCCAATAATCATCCGTCAATGTTAGATTGAATAAATCTATCACAGTGGGATTATCTCCAAATTTTTTTTTTTTTTTTATTATCTTTGGGAACCCAATTCTAATCATTACTTTCACTTGTTTTTATTGCATCCTCGTTGTCTTTGAAAAAAGAAAAAAAAAAAAATTTGTTCATCGCTGTCGCGATCGCTGCACTTGTCAAAATAATTTTTACGTTTGCTCGTGCTTAATTACGAATAACAAAATTATTTCGTAATTAATGAAAACGGTGGAACTATTTCGCAATCATATAGAATAATTATTATTCGAAATCAATCGCGATACAGCACAGCGTTATCTCGACTATTAACTCGCACACGTTAATGCATATTATTGCCACAAAAATACACCACGAGTCTAACTCGTCAATGGCCATTTTGGACCTAATCTAAAAATACAGTGACTCGTTATTCTGCGCGAATAATAAGGTTAATCCTCGAGAGCGATACGAATCGTCGTGTTCAAAGTGAATTTCAAGAGACGTTGATATTTGTCAGGTACGAGGCAGGTTAGAAGGCCGCATTGTCTTCTCATCTTATTTCCCACGGGCAAAGCGGAAGTGAAGTAGCACGCTCGTGTCTCTGATTTCGTGTAATCTCACCTTGTAATTATACAAATTTCATTTCACGGAACGGTATTCGTTCACGTACGTATGCACGTGTACCTAACGCTGCCTCGAACGTATCTTTTCAAGGAAAATATTCGAGGATCTCACGAGAAGAAACGTGAAACTGGTTTCCTGAGTTTTAGGACACTCGATGTTGTCGCAAAGGATTGTCTGTTTTTCGAGTTGACACCGTTGAGAAGAGAACCTCTTAAACATGGAAGTAGGTCTTGTGAAATGTGCTAACGTATTAGGGTTTAACGTATTAAAGAATTAATGAAACACACGGAGAATGAATTAATCCTATTTTATTATGTACATAAATTTGTCTGCTAGGCGGACGCCTTGAGGTCGTTGAAAAACACCCTCATCCTCCGCTTAAGCTGATCCGCGTACTTGGTCGCGGACTCGTCGACCCTGACGTCCTCCATCATAACTTCACAGTCCAAGTGTCTATCGTCGCAGGCTCTGTGATGATGCTTCAGCACGTCGTCCGGATCGAAATGATGGGCCCGTCTAGTGGACGGGTTGAGCGTGGTCAACGCGTAGTGGTTGTGCACGGTTAACGCGCGTCTGGTCGAGACGAAGCTCTTGACGGAGTCGCCTTCCGGCGAGATACAAGCGGTTCTGATCGTGTCCAGGTAATCGAGACCGGCGAGGGTATCGTCGTGGAAGCTAGGACGATCGGTTTGATTTCCGGCTGATGTCTGCTGCAGCTCGGGGAAGAAGTACACGTTTCTGACGGCGTACGAGGCGAAGTCCTTGAAGTTCCTTCCGAGCTTGATCCTCTCGTCGAGCAACAGCTCGTGCCAATTGTCCCTGCGGACCGGGACGATCGCCTCGTCGACGTCGATGGGCAGCACGAACTCCGACTGATGAAGATTGTCGTAGAAGCAATGATTGTACGGTATCAGCTCCATGCGTCTCTTGATCCAGATGTCCTCGGCGAGGAGCCGCCTCCTGGCGGTCTTCTCGTTGGGCAGATCGCCCGGCAACGTCAGATTGAACCATCTGATCACGTTCGATCTCTCGTACAGCCTCAACACTCGCAGCACGTTCGCGTGAACGTTGAACACGTAGAAGTAGAAGTGCTCGGCGCCCAGTATGCGATGAAGCTCCACGAACGCGACGATCTTGGCGGAGATGTCCTCGTCGAAGTCCAAACCCTTGATGCAGAGAGTGAACTGACGGCGTCGTCCCTCCGTCCCATTTCTATCCTCCCCTGTCTTTATCGTTAAACTATGACTAGCATCCTGGTGGCAGGGCTCCAGGCCTACGTACACCCTGGACGGCTCGATCGCTGCGTCCGGTGGTAATTGACAGCCGACTAGGATCCCCGCGTAGCTGTCCACTGTCTCGCCCCACTCGTCCAGCCAAATCGTCGACACCAGCGCTTCCACGCTGACGGCTCTGCCTCGTTCTTCCTCTTCGTACCTGCGTCACCGAGAACGGGATGTTACGAGCGAATTCTCAGCGGATTCTCAGGTCTCAGGAGAAGCAGGCCAATGTTTTTCTGACTTTGGGGAACTTTGGAGGAAGCTCAGCTTCCTGACCGAATTTGCATAATCGTTCGAATTATGAAACAGCCGCTCCCCTTCCCCTGAAGAGGATGTGAAGAAAGTTTGACGGTAAAAAGGGCAAGAAGTTAGATTAAAGCGACTGTCCGCGGGACTGACTGAGCGCGGAACTCGGTCAGTCCTATCGAACGGAGTGCTATCGTTAACGAAAGTCAACGTTGTTCCTCTCGAGATGTCGTTACTTTGATACGTTGTTATCTCGGAAACTTTTAAACAAGAAGCTTTGGAAAATGTAGAATCTCGAGCCATAATGGCAGTGCTCGAGGGAGAACTGATCACACTGATTCCAGAATCGACCGATCGATCGATCGATTGGTAAATTGGCAAAGGTTTCAGTCTGACTGACAACGAGAAGTATCGAAAGACAGAGGTGGCAGAGGAGGGGGAGGGAGAAAAGTGTCTCACCAAACGGTGCAGAAAAGGCCAGAGGTCGGCAGAGGTCCACGTTTAACGCCAATCACCCTGAGGCTCGGGTAGCCAGCCACTCTCAGGTCCAAGTGGGCACTGTACAGGAAGAGCTGTCCGGCGATTGTCTCGAGCCACTTCTCGTCGGCTAACTTGAACGTATTTAACGTCGTTCCGTACGTTCCATTACCGTCGCACTCCTTAGAGGGTCTGTAATCGAGTGCCAATCTCCGCGCCCACGAGTAAGCCACGATGCTTCTTGTGCCCGGGGGTTCGCCACCTGGAAAATGTGTCAGAGAAAGAAAGAGAGAGAGAGAGAGAGAGAGAGAGAGATTGAGACCGTGATAGTAGCGTGACGCGTGCTACACACTCGGCTCGTTAACGCGGGGCCGGCCTTGGCGCGCGCTTTTCGGCTAATTAATTCGATTCGTGCGTACGCGACACGGCCTATTAAGCGAAAAGCTAGGTCGAACAGCGTGAATGAGACGAAACGACTCTGGATAATTAGATTCAAAATTCATGGCTCTACGTGCGTGATAATTGATTCGGACTAGAGAAAATAATTCTGACTATCACTCGCAACGAGATAATTGTCAATATCCTTTTTACTTAACACTTTGCACTCTTCTGAAGGGACATTTCGTATTTAAATTAAACAATTAAAAATTAAAAATTAGACAATCGTATTTAAATTTAATCAACAGCTCTTTACAAGACTTTCTCTTTTTATAATTTGCCGATAATTATAACGAACGTATTGCATTTGGTGTTGTACGATGCAATGTACAATAGTAGAATATCTGAACAGATGCCTAGTGTGGAAACTGGAACAACGCAAGAAGAACAAAAGAATTTCAGAAATTTCTAAAGACAGTCCTTTGAGTCACTCAATAATTCACAGAAATAGGAATGATTCGCGCAGACTTCTTGTTGCTTCTTGCAAAAGTTTATAAAACGGCGGGGGATATGATTTTTCCAGAGATTGAAACCACGTGTCATTAATTCTTGCATACTGTACTTGTTCCAGCAAACCCACAATGTACGTTTAAATTTAAACGATATCACGTGTTGTAGCAAAATTTTCGTGTAAAATACCATTTGAATGGTTATTTCCAATGCTACGTCATTTTACTCGAAGTGATGATGCTTTGTAAATAAATTGCAGGTAGATGATACAGAAAAAAGTTTGTCGAGGGCAAAGGGTTAAGTATTAAGTTTAGTTGTATGCAGTTGTATAGTGTCGTCATTCTGTAGAAATAGAAAGGCAGCCTAGAGGAGCTTCGACCGGATGGAAGCATTACGTCATCGAGCGAGACCGGATGCTGTACGTCGTGGATACGTTCACGTGTCAATGCGATCGTGCCACGGTCGAATCGTTCTTTCTATAATTCCCTGGTAATTTCTTTAATCCCTGTCCCAGCTGACTCGGGAGAGCGTCACTGACCTCCGCCTGGGCATCGATTATTAACATTACACAGAATTTCAATTGCCTCGTTCGTTAATTGGCCACTAACAGCAAATACGTACTCAACGTACGTACGTACGTCGAAGGAAAACTCGTTTTGCGCAAAAGTCACGAACGACCAGAAGTCACGACCACCTCGGCTATCCCGATCATATATTCATTCCTTCCGCCGTCACGATCGATTCGTTTAATGGATTCGATGATGAAACATGCGATTTGTTCACGCACGATGATACGCAAACAGAGAGTACCCGGCTGACGACCGCGTCAGACTGTATTTATTTCTCGTGTTTTTAATCAGTATTCAATAATTGACGTTGATCGTCCGTTAACTGTCGACTGCAAAACAAATCTCTAAATTCCATGCAATTTATCAATTAAAGGTTTTTAAAACCGCCTTCCTAGTATCGTACAATTACTTTTGCGCGACTTCAATCTCGATTTAAATTCATTTTCTTCCTTTAATTTTCTTGTTTTTTTTTTTTTTTTTTTTTTTTAAACCACATTCTTGGTATAATTATTTTTATTTATACTGCTCCAACCTCTCGATTTAGATTCATTTGCTTTTTCAATTTTTTTTTAAATCGTTTCTTTAGCGCAGTTACTTTCGTAAATAACTTCAACTTTGAATTTATTTTCTTCTTTAACTTTCTAAAACCGCCCTCGTGCAACTTACTTCTATGTAATTTCAATCTCGATTCAATCTTCTTAATTTTTCAAAACTGCCCTCTTAGTACAATTGCTTTTATGCAAACTCCAATTTCGCAATTTGAATCTTCTTTTCAACTTTCTCAAAACCACATTCTCACAGTATAGTTATCTTTATACTACTCACTCAACTTCTCTCTGTTGTAATTTTTTGAAGCCGTCTATTCATCACAATTCCTTTCGTACGACACTTCGACTTTTCAATTTATTTATTTATTCGTTTTAATTCTTTAAAACCGCCCTCTGACAATTATCGCAATTACTTTTACGTCTCGATTTAAATTTTGATTTTCTGCTTTTAATTTTTTAAGACCGCCTTCTTAGTGCAATTTAGCGCAACTTTTGCGTAACTCCTCGTAATTTATGAAATACATTTTTAGAAAGCCTTTTAAAGCCGCCTTCTCGGTACAATTACTAAAATAAACTAAACAAAAGTACATTCATTAGGGATATTTCCGATTATTTGCGAGGGAACCGAAGGATCAGCACGAACCGTTTCTTCAACTTGGCGTAAAAACCGTACCTGCGAGGTTCCTCGCACGTGTGCACGCGCGTAAAATAACCATTTCCCGTTAATTCTCGAATTAAAGCAGCTCGGCCGACCAATTAAATCCGTGTCCTTCGGCGAGCGATCGTCTCGATCACGCGTTCCCTCTCCTTCTCTCGCTTTACCATATAAAACAATTTGTTTCGGTTGGAGCGAGACGTCGGTAATCCGGTCGATGCATCCTACCGTGTACCGTCATTAAAAGTTGTGTCTACGCTTGACCCAACGACCGCGTATCACGCCGATGCCGCGCGCACGATGGCAACCTGCCCTTTAGCAACTTCGCTTCCTCCTTTCCTTCGTGGCGACGACTCCACGGTTCGCCAGTTTTAACCAGGAAAAAAGCGAACTCTGCAACCGGTATCCGATGAGAGAATACGACTGGACAGGGTGGAAAAATTTTCAAGGGTCGCGAGTAAGCTCGCGAGTTGGCAAAGTGTTCTTTTCTTTTTCTCTCTCTCTCTCTCTTTCTTCTTTTTAGTAACTCGCTGAAGAGTCGATTCTATTCCCGTGAAATATTTAATCGAAGGGGAAGGGATAGGATCAGGTGGAGGGAACGTGGAGGCAATATCGGTAAATGAATCGAGCTGTAAATTACGTCACCTAATGAAGTCGCTACCGCCAAGGAACCGTGTAAAGATTTGTGTCCCCGATAAGCCCGTGTCACAGCGTCGCGGTTGATTTACGGCCACCGAGGGACGAGCTTTTTGCACGCGATTCCGCTTCCGTTTCTTTGGGAATTAGCTCGTGTCGAACCCTTGCCGTTTTGCCAAGATCTGATCTTTCGATCGCATAGTGACCATTTTAGTCACAGAGTAGCTGATTGATTTGACGTGTTTGTTAACCGCGAGCTTTTGCTTAGTCCGTTTCGCCAGTCCGGAAGAATTTGAAAACTAGCATAAATCTGCAGTAACGATCGCCCCGGTTGTTCAGCTTGATCGTGAACCTGAATAGCAGAGAATTCACCGTAGCAGAGATTCTTCCCATACCTGGCCTGTATACCAGGTTACAAAGTATAGCGTTCGATTTACACGCGATTGCTGGTCGAGCAACTTGCTCAAAGAGAAATCTGACGTGTTTTTCAAGGAAGTGAGGGGGGGGGGAAGGATAAGAGCAGCGAACTCGTTACGCGATTGACGCGATTAATCGTAATCGTTCGAACTATGAATTAATACTGGCACGGCCGGAGGCACGCCTGGTATTTCCCTATTCTTTGTCGGCCAGGGAACCAACGCTGGGAAGGTATTCGCCGGGTAGAAAATAGTGCGAACGCCGAGGCACAAATCTCGTACTGTGGTCGGAACGAGGCTATCGTAACACAATTCGTGGGAATTGCTCGTGTAGGATCTTGCTTGTCGTGTATCAATCGCACTGCCGGCGTAAACGACTCGAGCACTTTCGTCACCTTTGCCTCCCGTCCGAGGCCAGAAATATGCCTTCACCTTCAATTACGACCTGGCGCCGTAAACTTTACGATTTCATAAAGATCCTTGAACAATTATCTTGTCTCGGACGTACTACGTACAAGTGGGAATTTATTGCGAGCTCGACTCGTCGTATACGCTTCGCATCTTTGTCTTTTTCGAGAACAAAGTTTTTGGTCAAACCACTTGGCTACTTTGGCAGACTTTGAATCGCTGTGTACACTGAGGAACGGTGAAATCTTTCAGAGAGCGTTGCATTTCTCAGAAAGTATATTGATGTAATCGAAAGTGCACTGAATTGCACTAAATGTTACATATATTTACTCATATTCTGTGTTATTGAATTGTCAGTGAGAGTGCAAATTCGAAACATGGGCCAATACATTAAGTTTTCTACGTGTTACACATTTTAAAAAATTTTTACACATTTCAAAATTTTCACATTTTAACAATTTTCCATTAAGTTTTCTACGCGTTACACATTTTAAAAAATTTTTAAAATATCGAGCATAGATAATTGGGCATAGGTTGGTTTGCGTTTACTTTGACTCCACTATTTTCGTCATTAAACTTGCGAATTACAGGTTGGAAATTGCCCCGCGGCCAGGAAAATTTATTTGCATTTTTTCTTTTCCCTTTGGTTCCCTTCCCCGATGTAGAATTGAAAGCACGACGTTTTTTTAAATACACGCTTATAAAAACTTGAATCACTTGTTTGTACGTTTCCTGATTAATTTATTACCACACGTTTTCATTCTGAGAGTATCAAATGAAATAACTGTAAAATAATCACGTTCAAATAATATACGACTGGCGGAAGGTGTAATTGTTGAGTTAGAATTCACTTGCGTCTGCACCAATATTTTTTTGTTGCAATTATTGTTAATAACACTTGTGTGTAGTGTTGCCTATGGGCACCTTTTATTCCAGCGGACCGAATTAAGTTCAATAGTAGCCAAGGAGTTAAAAGATGAAAGACGAGAGACGAAACGTTACTCTCGATCTGGTCAGAAATCGTTTATTATTGACGCCAGTGTACCGACGTTTGACGACTTGAGAAATTTACTACACGTTTTGAGGAAAGCGAACGGAGGAACATCGGAAAACAGAAATTCCTCATGGTGTCAGTGATCGGCGTGCTCGAGCTGCAGACAGCTTTGATATGCAAATACGTTAGGATATAGGAGAGGATAAAAGTCGAACATTTGCATATTTAAGGAAACTGTTATCGATGATCTTCGACTCTTCGGAGGGGCTCTTGATACTTTGGGAGAAAATAAATTTGAGAAATTCTGGGCACGGTGGAATTCACTACCGGTGGAATACCACTTTCGAAAACAGGCAACGAGGCTGTATTCCTTGCTGCACGAGATATCCGAATTTCTAGCGCACGCTCCACGAGGAAACGATATATTCGCGGCAGTTCATCTCGAAATCGGAATTTTTCTATTCTTCGATCCGTCGAAGCCACCGTTCACAGACGCCGAGGAAACTAAACGTAACCTCGAGATGATTCGAAAAGGGGCAAAATTAAGCTACGAAAGAAAAAGAAAGAAAGAAGGAAGGAAGGAAGGAAGGAAGGAAGGAAGGAAAGAAGGAAGGAAGGAAAGGGAAAAAAGAGGGATTGTTAGGTGGCAGAGGCGCGTTAGTGGGTACGAGTTGCGAACCGTTCAGCGATAACGAAAGGGCAAGGGTCGCGCGCTGCTGGAGGCGAAGGAGCGCGGGCAACGGAGAAAATTGCTTACCAGGCGTGGGAGGAGGATCCGCTGGTGGATCCGGGAGTTGCGGCGGCGAATCAAGCAGAGTCAACACGCACAACGCGGTAACCAGCACGGCCACTAGGCCCGCTCTGCATAGTCTCCTAGTGCCCGCGACCGACATATTTGTGCTCTGGTGTGTGTGTGTGTGTGTGTGTGTGTGTGTGTGTGTGTGTGTGCCTGGTGTTGCCACGTGATCGCCGCTCGACTTTCGATCACCGCTCCAGCCTCGAAACGCTTCGAAATCGATCCATGTTCCGCCAACGATTTGCAATTCAATTCCTCCAGGGATTCCAGGGGATGGCTGAGAGAGGCGAATCCCTCCCCCCGAGAGGATCAAAGTTCGCCAACAGGACGACTGGCTGAAAACTGCAGACTGAAACAGGCACGATGACGGCGCTGACGATGAAAGTCGTTGATCGCGAGACTAGGAAGCATTCAGGCTCGTCGTTTCTTCCCCGCTCGCCATTCTGCCGATGGCCGATTCCGATGACTCGTACGTTCGCACGAGCGCGGATGTACCGTTGCACGGGCTCGATTCAAGTTTCGAGAGTCGCGTTCGATAGTAGCCTTGTGGATGGTGGATGGATACGGCAGGGACGGAATCGATCGGCGATAAACCGACCAGCCAGCCAGCGAGATTCCCAGCGAGAGATCGCCGCTCGAATTCGATGGAGCCGACGGTGGAGCGAGCGCACGCAGATCGATCAGAGCGGGATCAGGCTTTTCTGGTTCAGGCTGCTGGTGGATGCGCGCTGCTTTGCATAACACGCTTTCCGCTACACTTTCATCGGCTCTTAACGCTCCTCTCCATGCGGGTCTAATGATCTGGCTGAGAAGCCGCGCGACATATATACACGCGGGGCCAGCCGCGGACTGGTTCACTGGAATCGCGGAAATCTGGATTTATAGGATGCACGCTCTCGCATCGCTTGAAAACGCGATGTTGGCGTGCGTGGCAGTCATTCAACCTCCGGGATTGAAAGTTGCCACGCGATTCGCGGTTTTCACGAGTCGTTGCACCTCGCCCGACAGTTTGTCGACCAACTTTCGATCGATCGCTCGACTCGAAAGAAAAAAAAAAAGAAAAAAGAAAGAAAGAAAAAATCGGAACAACACTGAAAAATCCGCGATCTTTCTCCCTTCTCGTTCCTCCGGAACATCGAGCTCGAGTCTTGTCTACCTCCTCGAAAGAGAATCGATCGATATCGTCGAGCGATAAAGCGAACTCGTTTCGCTTTGGAAATCGTCGTGATCGGCGATCATCGCGCGCGCACCGTGAAATCAACCGAAGAGGAGGAGGAGGAGGAGGAGGAGGAGGAGGAGAAAGATCGGAGACGGCCGGCGGCCTTCTCGGAAAAGTCGTTCGTCGGCAAATCGACAGACCGGTACTCTCGCAAACGAGACGCGCAACCAGCCTGTTTAATAGTCGCGGCCGACGTGTGGGTTCCAAGGTGAGCACACGAATCTGTCTTCCCGAGTTGCGTAAAAAGCAGCGTGGAAGCTGCACGACCTCCCACGCGACGCTGCCGCTTCTTCGTAGGCTGGTGGACCATGTATGGTCGCGCTCACCAAGCCAGCTTGCACAGACACAACAGCGACTCGCCAGGACCGCCGATAATCTAATTAACCTGGTATCTCTGTCGCTTTAAGCGTTTTTTGCGCGCCACCGTTTCTTCTGCGTCCCGTCAATCCTGCTCCCGCTCGCTCCCCTATGCTTTACACTCGCCTTTTTCCTCCCCTCTTTCCTTACTCGCTCGCTCGCTCGCTTCGATCGATCTTTTTTTTTCTTCTTTCCTCTCTCCCCCTCCCCGCCCCCGTGTCTTGTAGAACGTCTAGTTCTTCCTCGACTTATTTGTACCACCGATCACGAGTCGACCGATCGTTACCAAACCGACGTACGTATCCCGATGGATCGACGCGTCGTTTCACGACACCGTGACCATTCCGAATTCATTCGCCGTCATCGCACCTGGTTTCGCCTCGGAATCGTGAGTCGTCGAACGATACTCGGCGATGAGATTGCGTTTGTCACCCGATTCAGATTCAACGCCTCTCTCTCTCTCTCTCTCTCCGTTAATTCGAACCGTGAGAACCGATTTCTCGATCGGTGTTCCCTTCACGGCCGTGTTTCTCTCGAGACACGAACTTCTTTCTTGCACTCTCTGACTAACGAAGCATTAGGTGTTTATTTGAAAGATCGTAATATTAGTGTTTCTCTGGTGACCACTCGATCAGACGCTTTCCGTCTTGTTTTTGTCGATCGTCTGATTCCTCGATCTGCAGCCTGACGCTCGAGCACGATGTCACTTCCGCTCTTCATAGTCTAATGATCCGATCGGCGCAGCCGCGCGACATGGATGAAACAAATCTGCACTCGGACTCGGACTCGGCTGATCTTTCCTTTCTTTTTCTTTTTTTTTTCCAGCTGCCCTGCGACGACCACCCGGTCAGTGAAACCTACGTATTCACGGTAGCGAATTGCTTTAATGAAACCACGGGGCGGAGCTGGCCTCGGCGGCTTTACTTGTAAAATTCATCTTTCGCCTCCAGCCACGACGTCTTACTCCCCTTATCTATCTGCGCTCGCTCGCGTATCTCTACCACTCGTTGCCACGCACTTGTTCGTATCACACACTGTGATTGGAACAAAGTTAAAACTGGTATTTCTTCTTCTCACGGTCCACCACCACGGTCCTCGACCATCAGGACTGATCGGAATAATAAAACAACCGTGTACCATCAATCGCGAATTATATCGAGCTTCATCCTCGCGATTCTTATTACACCTTCCGTATTCTTCGACCGACGAATTAGCACCACCGAAGATTCTCGATCTGTTTGTTTAACGCCGATAACTCTCTCTCTCTCTCTCTCTCTCTCTCTCTCTCTATCTCTCGCAATTAGATCGTAATTACGACGCGTCGATCTGAAAATCGTCTTCCTCGAGGAACCGCGAAATCTCGGAGGGAAGACGGTGTGCTGCTCCGAGTCGGTGAGTTTCCGAAGTGACGTTCAGAGAGGCGAGAAGTCGGCGAGAAACACGTGGTCCGGTGGCCCGGCCCGGTCCACCAAAACACAGCCGGTACCCGGTGGAAGGTTCGGAGCGCACGTGGTCGCCGGATCGACCGAGCGGATTGGTGCAATCTCGCCTGCGCGAGAGTCCGGAGCGTACTGCGTTGGAGCGGTAGGTGAACGCGCCACCACCAGCCCGCAGTTGGAGTCCCGACGAGTTTGGAGCCGAGTTGTGCCTCGGCGTTCTGCCTCGCCAATGCGCCTTGCCTTGCTCCATCCCTACTCGCGATTCGCCTCGCCTCGCCACGGCTACGACCTAGCTCTTCCTGGCCGATCGTCCTGCCTCGAGAGACTCTGCTTAGCTACTCTGCTTCTACTTCTCTGCTTCTACTTCTCTGCCCCCCCTTTCTCTCTCTCTCTCTCTCTCTCTCTTTCTTTCTCTTCGGGGCCGGATAGTTAGTCGACTTTACCTTGTCGCAGCCTTGCCAGCCACGCCACATTACGTCTCTCTCTCTCTCTCTCTTTTTCGCGTCTGTTTTCTTTTCATATTCGCTACTTACCGCCGCGCAACGCTACGCACGCCTCGGCACGCTGTTTCGATTACGCTCGAGTTTCGGCGACGAGAGGGATGAGATTCGATTGCTCGAGATCGCTCGAGAAGGATTGCTGCGTCCACGTAGGTTCACCCTCGAGAAATAAAATTGCATCGGAATTAATCTCAGCCTGCGCTGGAGATTTCATTGACTGAAATCCTCAATTCCTCGGATCAGGAATCGACCCGATCGTCCGGCTCGTCCAATCTCCAGAAAATCAATCAGCGAGGGGATTTAAGAAAGGAAAGGATCTCTCAAATCTAAGCTTACGAAAGGAGATTGAAGAACGTCGCGGATATGGCCGAGAATCGCGCAGAAAATCGTCGTCGCGGTGGAATTTGGTAAAACCTGGTCTTGGAACGGTCTTTTCGACGTGTGCTCTTAATCGATCGACTTTTTTTTTCCTCCCGGCGAAACAAACTAGCAATCTTTTTCCTGCAATCGGTGTGTCCCTGGTGATCGACGATACCTTTCAGATTGCGGCAACGTTTTCTTCCAACGTTTCTCTCTCTCTCTCTCTCTCTCTCTCGTTTTTTTTTCCACCGTCTGGCCGACCACCGTGAAGCATCCGCGCCACTTGTCGTACTTGTCAAAGCGTATTGCGCGTTGACTAATGGCAGCTGCGGCCGCGAAACGAGTTCATTCGAACTGTTCTGCCAACATTGAAACTTCCCCATCAAGCGGCAAATTTGTTCGAAAGTTACGTTTGTTGAAATCTCCGCGCTCGCGAGAACCACCTTTGGCATTGTGGGTTCTGGCGAGCGGACAGGATAGGCTGATTACGGTACGAGATTGAGCGGCGAGGGAGGAAGGCAAATGAAATTCGTAGGTGCGAACGTTTTTTCAGCAGCGGCCGCGGCTTCTTAATGTTTGCTCTGCGAAGGAGACTGATGACTGCAAGAACCGTTCGAGCAGACGGTTGTCCGTTCGAGAAGCGTAATTATTCCGAAGGGGCTGGCCGAAGACTCGCGAGGATTCAAGGCCACGGAAATTGTGGTACTATTAGGATCCACAGTCCCTGTGGAATTATACATTTCACGCGTGCCTCGATATACTTTATCACGTTTCTTTTTCCCTTTTTTTCTTTTTTCTTTTTTCTTTTTTTTTTTCGTTGGGAACGCGCGGTACATTATTATACGAAATTAGAGCGAGTGAGAATTCCAGAAATTCGCACTTTAATCATTGGATTGGATTCCGCGTAAATGTAATTTTAATTTTATTCCACTTTGCAACCGTGGTCAAGGATAATGTTATGTCGAAGCAAATGGAAGAGAAGAGAGGCGCAGATGACCAACCATTGGAATTTACCCCTTTACAAGTGTTCGCAGGCCACCTTCGAAGGATTATTACTATCTTCAGTGCCATGGTTCATATCATCAAGCGATATTTCTCCTTTCGAGTTCCAACGATCGAAATTCAATAAAACATCGCGAGACATTCAATCTTCAAGCAGAACAGCCTATGCATATACACGCGGATTTATGAACTATTTGAAACAAGTTTAAAGGCTCGAATTTATGAGTTTAATTAGCGATACGCAGATACGATCGCGTTACACTCGGATCGAAGTCAAAGCGGAGCGCCAATTAAAATGACATAAACGTAATCGATACGAGCGTATCTGTATGGTCCCGTTCACTGCCGTTGAATTAAAAGAAAGCACAATAGAGCTAATTTCCTGGATATCTGTCGTCCCTATGGCCGATCGGCATTCGTACGTGCCGTCGTACGATCGCAATCACCGCGCTTTCCTGGCTTCTCCACTCTTTGCTCTCGAACGCAGCCGGGATTACAGTACACCGGGACGTTGGTATCGGGGAAAATGAAAGGGCGTGATGCATAAGTCATGAAACGGGAACAGGCGAAATCAATCACAATCGATTTCTCTCTCTCTCTCTCTGTTGGCAATTACACGCCAGGCTAGTGGATAATGTCTGCAAAGGTCAGACAGCGGCTGATTACGATGGAAACTCAAGGCTCAGAGACTCGCGAGTCTTGGGATGAAGGTGCTCGCGGATACTTGGCTGTGCCAGGGCAAAGGTTTACGACACACTGATGTCTTGTTTTTTTTTTTCTTTCTTCCCTATCCTAGGCAGCCAGCGTTCACAATTTAGTCGGTTTAGTGCGCTCTTTGCCCGTCCTTTAGACCTTTATTGTTTCAATTTTTTTTTTAAATTTCGGGACACTTTTCAAAGAGTGATTGGGAGAGCAATTGCAGAGGAATTTGAAAACTGGCTGTGTCGAAGTTAACGATCAGCATTCTAAAACACACGCGCCATCACGTTATTTCGTTCTTCCGGAGAAGAAATTGTATCGATTGGTCGAATGAATTTATTCGCGCTAGATACGAGTAGAAATATTTGTAGATGGTAGACAAATGTCTAGTTTGCAATCTACTAACAATAACTTGGCTGCGTTTCTGTCGACGACGTTCGAACGCGATGACAATCGTGCTTAGCCCTTTGCTCTCGACAAACTTTCTTTTTCGTATCATTCACCAGCAATTTATTTACGAAGTATCATCACTTCAAGTAAAATGACATAGCAAGAATTGGAAACAATAACCATTGAAATGGTATTCGGCACGAAATTTTGTTGATTGTATCTTTCTAATCGTGCGATATCGTTTATAAATTTGAAGCAATCATGAACCCGTGTATTTGCTAGAATATACAAGAGTTAACGACACATAGTTTCAATCTCTGGAAAATTAGTATACTCCATCGTTTTTTAACACTAAACGTACCAAGCGAGGTCAAGTGACTCCTTTTCAAAATTTACTTTAAATGAAAATATATGTTTGAGTATTTTATTAGA